TAATGGTTCGTCTAAACCGGTAGTAAAAATGCTACTGGTCGACTGAACCAGTAATAAAAATGCTAATGGTTCGTCTAAACCGGTAGTAAAAATGCTACTGGTCGACCGAACCAGTAATAAAAATGCTAATGGTTCGTCTAAACCGGTAGTAAAAATGCTACTGGTCGACTGAACCAGTAGTAAAAATGCTAATGGTTCACCTAAACCGGTAGTAAAAATGCTACTGGTTGACCGAACCTGTAGTAAAAATGCTACTGGTTCGCCTAAACCGGTAGTAAAAAAAATCGCTTTTCCGGCGATCAGTTGTGACGTGCGATTTATATTACCTAGGAAGCAGGATTTTGAGCTAAGGGAGTGTCTGTGCGCCCACATTGCTACTAAACTGGTAGCAAAAACAAGTGGATTTCACCCCTGGTTGCACTGAAGGACTGGCAAGGAGGGTTGTTAAATGGGATGAATTTCCCTTAATAATTGTCTCGCTTAGCAACGGAAAGTTTCGGCTCAGCTGTGATTGTAAGTCAAGGAGTATCTGTAATGTAATATTCTCCTAATGCACTTCTAATGGACTGGAACTCAACTGAAAGCAGAGATCGTAAGAGCAGGGGTGAAATGGGGCAGGTTCTGACAGGTTCTGGAGAACCGGTAGCGGAAATTTTGAGTAGTTTGGAGAACCGGCAAATTCTACCTCTGGCTGGCCACGCCCCCTTCTATTCTCTGCCTCCCGAGTCCCAGCTGATCAGGAGGGAATGGGGATTTTGCAGTACCCTTCCCCTGCTACGCCCATAAAGCCACACCACGCCCACCAAGCCACGCCCACAGAACTGGGAGTAAAAAACGTGAATTTCACCACTGAGTAAGAGGCACCTGTCCAAATCCCGTCCCCCCACCCACCCTCTCCAACAATGACCCCAAGCAAAGAACATGAAAACCAAGAATGCAGTGATAGAGACTTTTTTTCTCTCTCTTTTTTCTAAAATCCATGATTAAAACCTGGTACAAACAGGTGAATATATAGATATATTTCTTTTAGTAGATGTATTTTTTTTCTTTTTCTTCTTTCTTTCTCTCTCTCTCTCTCTCTCTCATTATACAGCAAATATAGAATTTCTTTTCTCTCTGTACAATAGGACGGTTTTACAATGCAACGGTCCGACAGATCCTTTCACCCCCCCAAAAAATAAAATCTTAAAAAGATTTGCACAAATGGGACTTCAGGTGAGTTAATAGTCTAAACTGGAAGACTCCATTTGCAAAAGGCCCAAAAAGGATGATCTTTCTTTCTTTCTTTCTTTCTTTCTCTTTCTCTCTTTCTTTCTCCCTCTCTTTTTTTTAAAACAACAACAGGGGGGAAAAAGATCCTTCTGTTCACTTTTCTAATTGATCTCTTTTGTTCAGTTGTTTTTACATTTTGGTTACTGAAAGGATGAAGACAAGGCTGTACAGAGTCCACAAAATTCACAGAATAAGGAGTCATGCGATGCAGTTGTGGTTACGCCACACTCCTTTCGTATTTTCTGTCTGGCTCTCTTGAAACTCGTTCGCTTCTGTCGCTCTGAAAATTCAATTTTATTCATGTGTGTGTGTGTGTGTGTTTTAAGAAAAGAATTTGGTTTTTTCCCCCACCCCACAGTTTATTTTAATGTTTAAGTATCTTTCCTTTCACTCTACTCTCATCTCCGAGCCCCTCTCTCCTTTCTAAATCTCATCTCCGCAAGACCATAATTCCAAATATCTTTCTCTCTTTCTCTTTCTCTTTCTCTTTCTCTTTCCCTCTCTCTTTCTCTTTCTCTTTCTTTCTCTTTCTCTCTCTCTCTCTCTCTCTCTCTCTCTTCTCAGCCTGCTCTAGAATAATGATAGATTCCTCAGAGTTCTTTTCTTTCTTTCTTTCTTTCTTTCCTTCTTTCTTTCTCTTCCTCTTTCTTTCTTTCAAAGATAAGTCTGGATTAAAAACAATAGCTGCTGCTGATTTTTTTTGTTTTTCTGTTCTGTTTTTCGTTTGGTCCGTGGTTAAGTCACGAGCCGACGGAGAACTCAGGACTTGTGCTGGGCGGAGACCCCTTTCCAGTAATCTAAGATGTCGTGCAGATCTTCGTCTTTGGCAAACTGGACCTTTTTACGCAGAGCGTGGCCGGCCGCCATATACTCCTCCTCCTCCTCCTCTTTGTGCCGCTTGTTCAGTTTGAAACGCTCCCAGATGCTCCTGGAAGGTTTACAGGTGTATTCGGGGCTGGAAGTGTAGCTCAAGTTATGGTACTGTGGAGAGAGCTGCGAGTAGGCCAAGTCTCTAGGGCGGGGCCTGGTCAGCGGTTCCAAGATGGAGGGCTTCCGCCCCCCCATGCCGTCGTGTTGTTCCCCCTGATGGGACCCTGGGTAAGAGTGCCGGTGCTCGCTGTACTGCCGGATCTTCTCGGCTTCGGCTCGTAGGACAGCGGCCGCCGGCGTCACAGTGAGGATGGTGTCGGTGGTCGGAGACGTTTTCTCGATATATTTGGCTTCTGACTTGTGGCCGGAGCCCTCAGAGCGGAAGGACCTGGGGCTCCGTATGGAGCCACTGGAAGAAGTGCTGGACCGTTTAGGGGGCGCCTCAATGCTGTGGTGCCTCTGGAGAGGGTGGGTGTAGCTTTCCTTGTAGACGGGTGCTAGAAAGCTATGCTTGCTGGGGATTTGTTCGGAGAGCAGCACCAGCTGAGGCTCGGCGGTGGACACCGCTCCCGACTTCACCCCTTGAAAGGAAGTAGATTCTGATTTCAAGGCATCGATGCAGTTGTTGATTATCTGGTTCACCTTGTCCACCTCTTTGGTGATGGTGGAGATCTCCGCCACGGAGCTCTGGCTATCCGGGGGCCTGGGCAGCTCCAACTCTCTCCTCTCGGGCTGTTCCCCCGTCCGCACTTCCATGTAGTTGCCCTTCGTAGCCTTGGGGGTCTCGCTGCTGTCAATCAGCTTGTACTGCTCCACTTCTCCCACGGAGGGCAGGTAAGGGATGCGGGTCATGGTCTCACCGGCCAACATCTGACCTTGAGAGAGCTGGGAGATGCTGGTGGTCTCCATTTCCGGCCCGTACTTCAACTCAATGATGGTCTTCTTCATGTTCACCGCCGTTTTTTTGTGCTTTTCTTCCTGGTGACGCCTCTTCCGCAGGCAGTAGTACACCACTCCCAGGACAATCACCATGCCGAACAGGCACCCCAAGATCGTCATGATGTAGTGGGTGGCAGTTGAAGGCCTAGGGATCGGCTCTTCGGTGTTCTGCTTGTTGAGATTGATGGTGAGGCAGGTGTAGTTGTACCTTGAGACGCGGTTGGAGGACATCACGCAATAGGTGTAGTTTTCGTTTGGGCCGAGGTCCGTCAGCTCGATGTCCTCCTTCTTCTTCAGCAGCTTGGCCAGGATATTGTAGCGGCCGTTCTCAAATTGGGCCAGGGTGTACATCTTGCTGTAGGGCACAGGGATCTGCACACTCAACACAGCCGAGTTTTGGGTCACGTGCTTCACCTTCATGGTGGGGTACAATCCGGGGTCGATCACCGGGGTGTGCAGGGAGATCTGGGGCGTGGTGCCATCTCCGGAGAAACACTCTTCCTCCGGGCAGGGGTTCTCTGGAGGAGGAGTGGTCACAGGTTTTTTTTTGGGTGGGGTCAAGTAAGGTGGCATGGTGTAGGGGCCACCAGTGCAAAGAGAAGACAGCATGCCCAAGGCGTTGCGGTAGCCGCTCCGCCCTTGGCCCAGAAGGTAGTACCCGGAGTAGTCAGGTGGGGAGTCACACTGCATGCGGTCGTAAGTACGGGTCATGTTGGTGAAGCCCTCAAGCCACTGAAGGAAGCCCAGGAGTTCGCAAGAGCAATAGAAAGGGTTGCTGTAGAGCTCACATACCGAGAGTTTACTCAGGCCTCTGAAGGTGTTGCTATCCAGCCGTTGGATCTTGTTCATGGACAAGTCAATGTTCATGATGTTGGGGCACTCCCCGAAGGCATTGGGGGTGACCATCTCAATGAGGTTGGCCTGGAGGTAGAGGTACTCCAGCTTCCCTAAGCCCCGGAGGATCCCCTCTGTCAGGTTCCTCAAGCGGTTGTAGCCGAGCTGCAACACCTGCAGGTTGTACTGTCCTGAAAAGGCACCATCCTCGATGTACGAGATCTCGTTCTTGGTCAAGTTGAGGTATGTGAGGTTACTGAAGCGGCTGAGGGAGGAGAACTGGACGCTCTTGATCTTGTTGTCGTTCAGCCTCAGGTCCAGGATGGTGCTGTTGATCTGCTGAGGGATGGACTCGTAAGGAGGCTGGTTCTGGCTGCAAATGGCCAGCCACACGAAGCCCTTCTCGCCTTCGATCAGCCAGCAGTCGGCTTGGGCCTCGCTCACGTAGAGGAGAGAGACAGCTGCCACGTAGGTGCACAGTGCTGATGTCACGGCCCACCGATGGCCTGCCATTGAGAAGGGCCACGCCGAAAAAGGGGTCTTACCCTTGATCGGCCAGAAGAGGGGAAGAGGCAGCTCGGTCACGGCACAACCCTGCCTTGACTAGAGTTTCTTCAGCAGCTTTGTCATCCTTCCTTCCTTCTTCATGGTGCTGAACCATGAAGAAGCATCTGGGGTGGGTCCATGGAGAGGAACGCAAGGGACGTGTTGGTTACACCAGGGTCAAGGTCTCCCACGTGCCATCAGCAAAGGCTCTGCGGCTGGGGACCTGACTGCCTCACCATCATCTAAGAGGGGTTTGGAAGTCACTCAGAACGTGAAGGGACCTGGAATGAAGAGGCCCCTGGTTCAGACATGAGCTGTGCTCTCCTTATCTGCATTGCTTCTTCTGTCTTTCTTTTCGTCACCGGTCTTCATTTGAGTGTTGGGTTCCTTCTCCATCCTCCTTCTCCAGGTCTTTGTTCCTCCAGAGATGCGGAATCACAAGGTGGACCTGCCAAGAACAAGCAGAGAGAGACAACATCAGCTTGGGAAGGGACTCTGTGCAGGTAGGAAAGCAGAGTTAGTGTTCCTCAGTTGGTAATCTGTCAACCTTTCCTTCTGGAAGTCTATGGAGAGTCTCAATCATCCAGGTCACGTGACCCGTCAAAACCGCGTTCCACAAAAGCGCGGTCGACGAAANTGAAGTCCGGACATCTTCAAGTTACCAAGGTTGAGAAACACTGAGTTAGAAGACCCAAGAAGAAAGTTCAAGGGAGGGAAAAGTGGTATTTGTGGGGCATGTTTGAAAGTGTGAGAAGGGGTGACTGTGGAGGCCCCTGGTACCCTCTGAACCTGGTCCTTTCTTTGAAGACATTTCATGACCCAACGAGGTAACATCATTGGTTCTGGAAGGGAGTGGGGTTTGCAAGGAGGATGGAGAGGACTGCGGGGTCATTAACCTTGGTTCTTTTTTTTTTTAAAGACATTTCGTTACCCAACTAGGCAACATCACCAGTGCTTGAAGGTTTGCTCTCTGAGTCCTCTTGAGTGAACATCAAGGACCCCACAGCTGAACCCCGACTTACAAACCTTCCCTTGTTATTGTGGCACACCTCGTGTCTCCTGTGTCCCGCAAGTGGTTGCAATCCCTCCCTCGGAGGGCCTGGATGTGATGGCGACGGGTGAATGGCGGGTACGGAAGTGCGCTCCTTGTCCGCGTTGGGTCAACGAAGCTCCCCATCTTTCCCAATATTTCACCCTTCCCCGATTCTTGGGCAGTGAGTGGCATTTGCAAACAGATGTTTCTCACCCTAAGGATGGGTTGAGTTGGGTGGCCGGCTTTTGTCAACCGGACAATTGACTGGCTAAAGAAAGGAGCAGAAGTGTGGTGGACACACCCCGCGGAGAATGGGCAACGCGTTGGGTACACAAGGGGCAGGAGCTTAGGAGGCTCCCACGGGAGGCAGCTGCTGTGTGACATTGTGTTTCCTCCCCCCCCCCCAGTTTTCAAAACTTCCCTGAACGACGAGAAAAATCCATCTGTTTTCCTCCCCCCTGTTGTGTACAGGTAGCCCTCGACTTACAACAGCTCACTTAGCGACCGTTTGAAGTTACAACAGCACTGCAAAAGAGACTTTAGACCGTTTTTCACACTTAACGACCGTTGCCGCATCCCTGTGTTCAGGCGATCAATGTTCGGACGCTCGGCAACTCACATGTACCTACTTAGGATGCTTGCAGTGTCCCCTTTTGTGACCTTCCAACCAAGTCAGTGGGAAAGCCAGATTCGGTTAACGACCACATTACTAGCTCAACAAATCAGGGTGGATTTGATTTAAACCAAAATACGATTTAAATCACAGTTTAAATCACAGTTTAAATCATGGTATGAATCATGGTTTAAATCACGGTCTAATCATGGTTTAAATCACAGTTTAAATCCATTTAAATCATGGTTTAAATCACAGTTTAAATCACGATTTAAATCATGATTTAAATTGCCGTTTAAGTCATGGTTTAGATCATTGTTTAAGTCATGGTTTAAATCACTGTTTAAATCATGGTTTAAATAAAGGTTGAAATCATGGTTTAAATCAAGGTTGAAATCATGGTTTAAATCACTAGTTAAAAAAAGGCTTGATTTAAACCAACTCGATTTAAATAGTCATTTCTAAAGAGCAACTGTTGTCTCTGTCCCACAACGGCTCCTCCTCTGACCCGCTGTTGACTCACTGACCATCCCGTTCACTTTAATGGGATGGCTGGTGATGCCGCAGGGACACAGCAAGGTGACGGACAGCAGGTGAGTGGATGCCCGCTAACAAGGGCTGCCATGATGGGATCTGAATTGACAGGTGCTCTTTAAATGGAAGGACTCGTTTTAAGGACTCGCTTTTGCTGGTAGTTAGAATCTTTAATATTATTGTTTGCAAACAAAAGTTTCCTATTTAGCTTGCAGAGTTGGAGGCATTGAATGAGTTTTACCAAAAATGTAAATATGGCAGGCTATACACTGCCTCGGCTCCATTTCATGCTGAATAAACTAAATTATTAATGGACCTTAAATAGAAAACTATCTTTGGATAGATTTTTTTACTCCAAAAGCATTTTATTAAAATAAATGTGATAAAAATAAAAATAAAACATCCGATTTACATTTTTTTAAAAATCTGATTTAAAATTTTAAAATCCAATATTTTTAATTTTAAAAAAATCGCCGGTTTTTATCCACCCTGTAACAAATGCAGTGTTGCGCTCAGGGGTGAAATGCTACCAGTTCAGACTGGTTCGCTCGAACCGCTAGTAAAAATGCTACTGGTTCGCCTAAACCGGTAGTAAAAATGCTAATGGTTCGCCTAAACCGGTAGTAAAAATGCTACTGGTTGACCGAACCAGTAATAAAAATGCTAATGGTTCGTCTAAACCGGTAGTAAAAATGCTAATGGTCGACTGAACCAGTAATAAAAATGCTAATGGTTCGTCTAAACCGGTAGTAAAAATGCTAATGGTCGACTGAACCAGTAATAAAAATGCTAATGGTTCGTCTAAACCGGTAGTAAAAATGCTAATGGTCGACTGAACCAGTAATAAAAATGCTAATGGTTCGTCTAAACCGGTAGTAAAAAT